GCTGCGGAGGAAGCCACGGCAGGTGGCGGCGGGCGGGCTGGCGCACGGCGAGATTCTGAAGCCTGCGGGGGGGCAGCGGCCGTGTTCGCTCGTTCGCTTATTTATTTTTCTCCTTGGGGCGGTCTGAAGGGGTTGCTTAAACACGGGGGGGTTTGCGGGTTTGGGGAAACTTTCCTGCCTGCTGGGAAATGGGCTCGGGCTGTCCGAGGTCTGCCCGCTCCCCCCGGGAGCCCTTGTTTTTATTTTCACGCTGAGGCAGTAGAAAGGGGCAGTAGCTGGTCTTCTCGTCTGCGTATTTTGGCTGGCAGATGCCAGTCGTTTTGCTTTCCCGCTGCCTCGGTGCTCATTCTCCTCTGTAAAATCCTAAGAGATTTGTGGGAAGTAAAGGCTCAACCTGAAGATCAGTGTGAAAGTCTTCCCAAACACTTTACTCTCGCAGGGTTTCAGCTACGTCACTGGATTTCCACAAACTCGTAGTATTTCCCTACTAGCTAGTTTAGTTTGCTGCTAAATGAATGTTTGACGTTCAGTAAACTTTCTGTGATGGTGTAGCTGTCTTGCAAAACATCCACAGGTTCCACAGATCGCATGTGTTCAGTAGCAGATTTGGGGCCTAACTCATTTTTAACCTTGCTGACAACACTGGAAACCTTCATAAATAGTAACGATCAGTGGTTTGTAAGAAGCATGTGCCTTGAAATCACACTTTTTAAATGGAGCTGAAATTTTATTAGCAGTTGCTTGCTCTAGGTGAAGCTGAGGTGTCCCAGAGGTGATTGAGCACTATATATTGGTGATAAAGTCAATGGCAGCAATCAAAAGGAAGCTCAGGATTTACATTACAGACTATTCAATGAAAGATAGGTTTCAGACAGATTTTCAAATCTTTTGTCCCCCTCTCTTTGATAATTTCTTCTAATACAGAAAATCAAAATTGGTTTTAAAGGTGACTCAGCTGTCTGGTGTTCATCATGTCTTGTTGAGCAGAGGTTATTTTTACCCACCCTCTTCAGATCTCAAGTGTCACCCAGCAGCCCTGACTGTACTGGGAGGCGGTCTGATTAAAACTGCCAAATCAGACTCTGCTGCAGAGGCGCTAATTGCATTATACGCTTAAGAAGGTTTTTTTGGGGAGGAAAAAAATCAATGTACCACAATCTTTCCTTCAAATTTCTGCTCTGGTGCACACATGGCTGATGTTTTTAGTAACGCTTTTGCGCTTCTTCTACATGATGGTTTATAAAAAGTTTCTGTTAACAAGTAGGAAGGGCTGTAAGTGCTGTTATAGATGAAAAAAACCCAATCGCCACCGCCACTACCACTCCTCAAGTAAGCACAGCAAAAGCTGTGTTGAGCAAAACAGTATGTTTGAACGAAACAAAACATTTGAGCAAAACTTAAATTAACAGCAACTATGTATAAAAGTAGGAAGAGGAGGTGGAATCACCATCTGTAGGCCTTTTTTTTCTGTTTTTTTTTTTTTTTTTTTTTTTCAAAAACATTTAATGCTTTTGACTTTATTGGGAAGAGATTTCAGATTTTGGAGAATGTTGGCCTCAGTTGTTAAAGCTTTTTGTTTAAATTGCAATTATAGGCATTCATTGGGCAAAAGCCTTGACTGAACGTACACAGTACCACTCAAAATTAGTCAGTTTCTCTCATTTTCCATGGCTTTTCAGACCATACCACTTCTCAGT